GGTTTGGTTTATAAAGTATCACATTCCCCCATGGCAGACTATAACTACACTGGGAATAATAGCTGGTAGGCTGACTGCTTTCTGTGATGACATTTTTCTTTTTGACAGACAAGCAGATGAGATTTCATTTTATTGAAGAGTTACGGTCTTCAGCACTAAGCTGTGCTGGGATTTAACTGTTGTATTTGCATTTTTGATGATTCTGAAGCTCAATAATAATTAACATTGACCTGGGGGTTGTACAGACCACTCTTTGTGCATATTAAAAATCATTCTACCCTCCCTCCCGGATATTCCAGCTTATATATTCCATGCAATTTACAGAAAACACATTTTTTTAAGAATGATGAAAACAGGAAAATTACTGAGGCCATTTCTTATTACGTTTCCTATTGTAAAGTAAGGTGTCTTCAGCGCTGTGAGCCCAGCTGTGCAGGCATGGGAAGGAAAATGGAAATCACAGGAAATAAACGCAGAGCACCTGTGTGTATCCCTGTGACTGGCACGATGGCAACAGGTGCTAATGTCATGTGTGTTCGATGTGGTGGAGGATGAGTAACCAATCAATCATTAAAGTCACGGAATGAATTAGAGCATTCCTGGACTGGCATTTTCTGAAGCCTTCTCTGCAAGAGTAAGTGGCATTAGGGCTTTGGAAAATCATGGGTTTAAAGCCACTTATTTCAGGCTGTGGCATACAGACAGTCTTAGGTCAAAATAAACTAGGCTCTCCTTTTCTATTATTAATAATTCAGGATTAACTGAAATCCAAGGTAAATTGACATAAGTGATCCTTATGCTGAAAAATGGGTAGTCTTCCAAGGAGATTCATGAGTATGTCTAAATCATTTAGAAGAGGAGTTTGGTCGTAGTGTGGCACTGCACTATTTTGTGTCATTAAGCCACAGATGACTGAAAGTGAGGCCAAATGAGACCAGCGTTGCGAAGCTCCTGATGAGACTAAAAATGCAAGTGGGCCAACAGTGGGATTTTCAGGAATGCCTATTTAAATGAGGATCCTAAAAATTCTTTATAAAATTGGCTTTTTTCCCTTCAGCAGGAAAGTTGGCTAACAAAAGGCGAGGCTACCACTATATGTGGAACATATGAATAAAGAAAAACCCAGTCTATCTCCCAATGAAAGCAAGTCGCTCACTTCAGTGCTGTTTTTACTGAAGCTTTAAATATCCCTAGTAACGGGACTTTCACAGTACTTCTCTCAAAGAGACGCCTCTTCAGTTTAGCATGCTTACCACTGGGACAACTCTTCTAGGCAAACTATCTGCCGCCTTCTTGGTTTTATTGGACTGCGTCTGGCCAGAGAATCAGCCTGATTACAGCCCCAGAAGCAGGTTGGAACCAGGTGGTTCTTCAAACACAAACTGAATCTAAGCTGTTACTATTGAACCTAAATTGGCAGCTGGACTGAAGATGCTTTTTCCTTGAATCAGTATGGACCTCGAGGTGCTGGGGTAACTTCAGGTACCACTAAACCTTGCAGCAGAACTGAAAAGGAAAAAAAGCACAGGGTTTCTCCTCTCAGTCCAGAGCCCTATGTTGTAGCAATCGCCAATAGGTCTTGTTACTTTGAAATGATCTGGAGCCTTTTAAATTGAAGAGGTGGCTTTGAATTAAAGGAGTCATCTTAATAATTACTTTACATGAACTATACCCTCCTTCACAGTGAAGGAACATGCAGTATACACCAAACAGTGGGTTAATATATCACTCCAAATGATTCTTTTCCCTTCTTGAGGCTTATGGCTTTTAAAAATATCACTCTTCTCCACCTCCTTAGCTGTCATTTAGTCAAGTCTCACAGATGAAGCTTTTAAAATCTACGGTCATTTGCTCACCCTCTCCTGCCAGCCCCCTTCCCCAGCCCCCCATTCATGTTATTCTTTGGAACTGCTCTTCCTTTTATTTGTGTAGATTCAAAAGCCAAGGTCAAAGGGGCCTTTCAGGGCATGTCTACACTGTGCAATGCAGTGTTATGCAGAAACTCTGAAGGAGTGCTGAACAAGACAGTGTTGGCAGTGCAGGGGAGAGACAAAAGTGTCATTTGAATGAAAGCATCCCATCTTGACTTGGTGACTTCAAGAAATGGAGATTCACCTCCTCTCTTTCCCTTGCGTTTTGCTTCTCATGTTCATTAACATCCTGGCTGAAGTTTGTGCCCTTATTTCCATCTCATTCCCTTCAGCCTTTTCAGTGCTGTGGACTTGTCCCTTTTTCCTTCTCTTTTACCAGATAATTTCCATTAACAGGTTGAAGTGATGACATAGCCAAAATGGTAAGGCAGGGGATGTTGGGATATGCTTTTCAGAACTGTATAACTGGCAAAGAATGTAGAGTCCAACTTTTAAATATACTTAAAGCGTCCTGATTTAAAAGAAAGGGGTGTTAGGAACTGACGTGCCCTGAAAATTTGGGTCTCAGCTTATGGCTTTTCTGTGTAAGAAGATTAATTCAGAGGAAACTCAGACGTAACCTGCAGCGGACTGGCCACTCACCGCTAACTCCACATGCATACTCTACGCCTGTTAAAGGGGTTGTGTCTGTGTGTCACAAGTGGTTTGCAGTAAGCTGGAGTGTAGAGTGCCCATGGGGCTGGGCATGGAGAGAGGTGGCTCTGCCTTTGGTGAGCAGCTGCCCTGTATGCACGCAGAAAGGGAGATTGACCTTTGCTGGCTGCACCAATGCTGCCAGCCTGCTCCCCTTCCAGGTGGGTGTCTGGGAAAGATGGGGGCTGGGAAGGGTTTCCTCGGCAGGGCTTCCCACAGCAGGGAGGTTCCCTAAAAAGGCCTTGTCAGTGGGAAGAAAACAAGCTTCTAAAACACTCCTGAAGCGTGATTTGTCTGACCTAGTTTAGGCTCCTGCTTTAGGATGATCTGAATTGCACCCTCAAAGTTCCCATTTCTCTTTGTTGTCACCAACTCTCAGATGGGGACATGCGTGCTTGGCTGGAGGAGTCCCATCTCCCAAGGGCACTGGGAGCAGTCATGTGGGTTAGCAAGTGCCCACAAGCTCACGACACACTAAATTAACCATGGAGATGAGTCCCTCAGCAGCTCCTGGGGACGGAGCAGAGGCTCCTAAGTCCCATAAACATATTCCAAAATGCCATTACACTGCTTCTCAGGGCCTTGGCATAGTGTTGCCAGCAGTGGTCTATGTCGCAGACACCCCTTCCTCAAACTTAATGCCTATTGCTTTCTGCTGCTCCACTTCTTACCTCTTGTCTTTTATCATTGCATAGTTTGCTTCCTTTTTCTCTGCGTGCATTTTCTGAAGCCGAGTCTGATTTTCATTATTTAATCCTTTGGTCTACTTCTGTGTCAGCTGGTGCTTGCAACTCTTCCCAGTTTAGTATCTTCTCTGAATGTCATTATCATATCATTATTTCCCTTTTCTAGACTGTAAAACCAGGACTAACACTGATACCTGCTTGACCCTAAAAGGCACTTCCCTTGAGTTACATACAGATGTAGATCACCAGCTAGACTCTCTTTGAAATCCTGTTTACTTTCCTTAAAAAAATATGGGGTACTGGGAACTGCAATGATGTCATAGCAACTGAATATGATTATGTAGGAGTCTGCGCTAAGGGGTATTCCAGAAACTGTATCTATATATGTATGCATTTATTTGTATAAATGCACATGTGTGTGTGAATAGTTGTGTTAATAATGTATTCAGATATATTTAAAGAGCAAAGGCCTTAATAATAACCGAGTACAATTTTTTTCTCTTTTGTTGGCAATTTTACATTAAAAATAAATTAGAAGTAACTCCATGGTGTGGCAGAGAAGTTGATGTAGTGACATTAGTGCTAAAAAAAAAAAGAAGAGCATCTGACTGTGCCTCCCAGACACAGTAAATAAAATAAGCTAAATTTGAATTTTGGTAGATGAAAACGTAGAAATCCAGCAGTCTTTTTATATTTTTAACATGCTCAACGTTGTCATACTTGGGTTTATCTGTTGTCTGGGATCTTTTTTCACAATGACAGATATAGCTACCCTGCTCATATATATATGTTGAGAAAACAGGGTGTTGTAACTTTCAAGACGTGTGCTTGGGGGGTGTGTGTGTGCGCGCATTAATGTTCGCCCAGGCTCATGCATCGCCGTGATCTTCTATGCATGCAAACCCATACATTTTTGTTCCCACACGTGCTGGGGGGGGGGGTGGCTGTGTGTGTGAACACGCACATCTTCCCCATAAGAGTGCACAGCCATTTGCAGGCAGAGATCAATAGGCGTAGAAATGACTTAGGCGCTGAAATTAATTGAGATCTATACAGGAGGGAAAGGGATGATTTCTGTAGGTTTCGGAGCTATTCTAAAAAAAAAAAAAAAAAAAATCTGTTGCAGGACTCTTGTTTTATGTGCCTATGGAAGGTGTATAGGATGGACTGGGGGAAGAAGGGAGAAAGTTGTCCCGTTCAGTCCTGCCGGACATCACCCCCCATGGTTTATGGCCGCACATATGAAGAAGGCAGCACGTACATATATGTTTGCGAGCGTGCTGCTGAGGGGGGAGGGGGATTTTTAACAGCCATTTTAACATATTTTCCGATTGCCATTTAGCTCGCAGCTCCCACCTACGGTACGTCACCTGTGCATGGCACATACCGCCTGCCACGGCAATACCCCTGGCTCCCTCGTCTCTCCTCCCTGCCCACCCCACCCCACGATGTCTTCACGTGTAAATCCCACTCCGGGCTGTGGCTGGGGGGCTAGGGGCTTGGGATGCTCGGGTGGGAGTGGGGCTAGGGGCTCCCCAGGCGCCCGGTGCCTCCCAGACACACCCCACCCCACCCCTCCTACCCCCCCCTCCGCAGTCTGCAGTGTCCCCTC